ATGGCACTGGGGGCAGCTCCAGGTGACAGTGATGGTGACATTGGGGCAGCTCCGGGTGACAATGACAGTGACATTGGGGCAGCTCCGGGTGACAATGATGGCACCGGGAACAGCTCCAGGTGACAGCGACATTGGGGCAGCTCCAGGTGACAACGACGGTGTCACTGAGAGCAGCTCCAGGTGACAGTGACAGGATCGCAGGGAGGTGCTCCAGGTGACAATGATGGTGTCATCAGGAGCAGCTCCGGGTGACAGCGATGGTGTCACCAAGAGCAGCTCCAGGTGACAGTGACAGTGTCACTGGGAACAGCTCCAGGAGACAGCGATGGTGTCATCAGGAGCAGCTCCAGGTGACAGTGACAGTGTCACCGAGAGCAGCTCCAGGTGACAGCGATGGTGTCACTGGGAGCAGCTCCAGGTGACAGTGACAGTGTCAGTGGGAGCAGCTCCAGGTGACAATGACGGTGTCACTGGGAGCAGCTCCAGGTGACAGTGACAGGATCACAGGGAGATGCTCCAGGTGACAGTGACGGTGTCACAGGAAGCAGCTCCAGGTGACAGCGATGGTGTCACCGAGAGCAGCTCCGGGTGACAGTGACAGGGTCACAGGGAGATGCTCCAGGTGACAGCGATGGTGTCACTGGGAGCAGCTCCAGGTGACAGCGATGGTGTCACTGGGAGCAGCTCCAGGTGACAGCGATGGTGTCACCGGGAGCAGCTCCGGGTCCCCGGGCGCACCCTCAGGTGACAGTGACGGTGTCCCTGGGCACGGGGCTGGTGGCATCTGTGGGAGCAGGGCAGGGGGTCAGAGGGGTGTCCCGGGAACACCCTGGGAATGTCCCCAGGAATGTCCCCAGGAATGTCCCCTCCAGAATCATTGGGCAGGGGGGTCAGAGGGGTGTCCCAGGAATGTCCCCCTGGACTCACCGGGCAGGGGGTCAGAGGGGTGTCCCGGGAATGTCCCCCCGGACTCACCGGGCAGGCTCCGGCAGGACGGGCTGTCCGGGGTGTCCCCCGCGCTCCGGGGGGGGTCGGACACGAGGCTGGCGGTGGAGGTGACACTGTCCTGTGTGGGACCGGAGGGGTGAGAGCCGGGGACACCCCAGGGGACACCGGGGACAGCCCACAGCCCAGGGGACACCAGGAACATCCATGGGACAGCCCAGGGGACACCGGGGACACCCCAGGGACACTGGGAATGTCCTACACTCCAGGGGACACCAGGGACATCCCACAGCCCAGGGGACACCAGGACTGTCCCACATCCCAGGGGACACCGGGGACAGCCCGGGGACACTGGGAACATCCTACACCCCAGGGGACACCAGGACCATCCCACATCCCAGGGAACACTGGATCCATCCCTGGGGACACTGGGACCATCCCAGGGGACACCGGGACCATCCCAGGGATCCCGGGAGTGTCCCATATCCCCGGGGACAGTGGGACCACCCCCTATCCCAGGGGACACCGGGAAGAGCCGGGAGAGTCATCCTGGAGACACTGGGACCATCCCACTTCCCAGGGACAGCGGGCCCACCCCACATCCCAGGGGACACCGGGACCATCCCAGGGGACACCGGGACCACCCCACATCCCAGGGGGGCACTGGGACCATTCCAGGGGACACCGGGCCCACCCCACATCCCAGGGGGGCACTGGGATCATCCCAGGGGGGCACTGGGACCATCCCACATCCCAGGGACAGCGGGCCCACCCCACATCCCAGGGGGGCACTGGGACCATCCCAGGGGACAGTGGGACCATCCCACATCCCAGGGGGGCACTGGGACCATCCCAGGGGACAGTGGGACCACCCCACATCCCAGGGGACACCGGGACCATCCCAGGGGACACCGGGACCACCCCACATCCCAGGGGGGCACTGGGACCATCCCAGGGACACCGGGACCACCCCACATCCCAGGGGGGCACTGGGACCATCCCAGGGGGGCACTGGGACCATCCCAGGGACAGCGGGCCCACCCCACATCCCAGGGGACACCGGGACCATCCCAGGGGACACCGGGACCACCCCACATCCCAGGGGGGCACTGGGACCATCCCAGGGGGGCACTGGGACCATCCCAGGGGACACCAGGACCATCCCACATCCCAGGGGGGCACTGGGACCATCCCAGGGGGGCACTGGGACCATCCCAGGGGACACCAGGACCATCCCACATCCCAGGGGGGCACTGGGACCATCCCAGGGGACACTGGGACCATCCCAGGGGACACCGGGACCATCCCACATCCCAGGGGACACTGGATCCATCCCTGGGGACACCGGGACCATCCCAGGGGACAGTGGGACCATCCCAGGGATCCCGGGAGTGTCCCATATCCCTGGGGACAGTGGGACCACCCCAGGCGACAGTGGGACCATCCCACATTCCAGGGGACACCGGGAAGAGCCGGGAGAGTCATCCTGGAGACACTGGGACCATCCCACTTCCCAGGGACAGTGGGCCCACCCCACATCCCAGGGGGACACCGGGACCACCCCACATCCCAGGGGGGCACTGGGACCATCCCACATCCCAGGGGGGCACTGGGACCATCCCAGGGGGGCACTGGGACCATCCCAGGGGACACTGGGCCCACCCCCCATCCCGGGAATGCCGGGAGCAGCTCACCGGGGTGTCCTGCGCGGGGGGGGTTTGGGATCCCGGCCCCAAATCGTCCTCGGGGGGTCCCGGGATGGCGAATCCCAACCGGACCAGCTCCGCCCCCACGTCCAGGCGCTGCGGGAACACCGGGAATGGGGGAACACCGGGAATGGGGGGGAACAGCGGGAATGGGGGGAAATACTGGGAATGAGGGGACACCGGGAATGGGGGAGAATACTGGGAATGGGGGGGAACACCGGGAATGGGGGAACACTGGGAATGGGGGGGGAAACCTCGGGAACTGGGTGGGAGGGGAAACAATACTGGGAATCTTGGGGTGGAACCCGGGTAATTAGGGGGGAACATCGGGACTGAAGGGGGGGGGAATATCACTGGGGGAATGAGGGGACACAGGACATGAGGGGAAATACTGGAATGGGGAGGGACAATGGGAATGGGGAAACACCGGGACTTCATATGGGGGGGGAAACATCGGGATATGGGGTGGGAATACGGGAATGATGGGGGACACCGGGAATGGTGTGAAAGACCGTGAATGGGGGTGGGAGGGAACATCGGGAATGGGGGGGAAATACTGGGAATGAGGGGACACCGGGAATGGGGGAATACCGGGAATGGGGGGGGAACATCGGGAATGGGGGAACACCGGGAATGGGGGGGGGGAACACCGGGAATGAGGGGGGAACACTGGGAATGGGGGGGGAACACCGGGAATGGTGAAAATGGTGGGAACACTGGGAATGGCAGGAATGGCAGTGGGAATGTTGGGAACGGTGGTGGGAAGAGCAGGAAGGTTGGGAATGGCACTGGGAATACGGGGAATGTTAGGAATGGCAGTGGGAACACCAGGAATGGCGGGAACGGTGGTGGGAAGAGTGGGAAGGTTGGGAATGGCAGCGGGAAGAGTGGGAAGGTTGGGAACAGTGGTGGGAACGGCAGGAATGTTGGGAATGGCAGTGGGAACAGCAGGAATGGCAGGAACGGTGGTGGGAACAGTGGGAGTGGTGGGAATAGCGGTGGGAGCACCAGGAAGACTGGGAATGGCAGTGGGAAGAGCTGGAAGGTTGGGAATGGCAGTGGGAACAGCAGGAAGGTTGGGAATGGCAGTGGGAAGAGCTGGAAGGTTGGGAATGGCAGTGGAAAGAGCTGGAAGGTTGGGAATGGCAGTGGGAAGAGCTGGAAGGCTGGGAATGGCAGTGGGAAGAGCTGGAAGGCTGGGAATGGCGGTGGGAAGAGCTGGAAGGTTGGGAATGGCAGTGGGAAGAGCTGGAAGGTTGGGAATGGCAGTGGGAACACCAGGAATGGTGGGAGCACTGGGAATGGCAGGAATGGCAGTGGGAATGTTGGGAACGGTGGTGGGAAGAGCTGGAAGGTTGGGAATGGCGGTGGGAAGAGCTGGAAGGTTGGGAATGGCAGTGGGAAGAGCGGGAAGGTTGGGAATGGCGGTGGGAAGAGCTGGAAGGTTGGGAATGGCAGTGGGAAGAGCTGGAAGGCTGGGAATGGCGGTGGGAACACCAGGAATGGTGGGAACGCTGGGAATGGCAAGCATGGCAGTGGGAACACGGGGAACATTGGGAATGACAGTGGGAACACCGGGAATGTTGGGAACGGTGGTGAGAAGAGCTGGAAGGCTGGGAATGGCAGTGGGAAGAGCTGGAAGGTTGGGAATGGCAGTGGGAAGAGCTGGAAGGTTGGGAATGGCAGTGGGAAGAGCTGGAAGGCTGGGAATGGCAGTGGGAAGAGCTGGAAGGCTGGGAATGGCAGTGGGAATGTCGGGAACGGCGCTGGGAATGCCGGGAACGCAGGGAAGGCCCCACCTGGCCGTGGTGCCGGGCGAAGAGGCGCAGGCTGGGCCGGGGCCAGGGCGAGGCCGGGCAGAAGCTGCAGAGCTGGGCCTCCAACGGCCTCCACTGGGCACAGCCCGTCAGCCGCTCAAAGGCCTCCAGGGCGGCCTCCTCCCAGTCGTTCCCTGCCGGAATAACACCGGGATAACCACGGGAGAACCACGGGAGAACCACGGGAAAACCACGGGAAAACCCCTCCTCCCAGTCGTTCCCTGCCGGAATAACACCGGGATAACAACGGGAGAACCCCGGGAGAACCCCTCCTCCCAGTCGTTCCCTGACGGAATAACACCGGGATAACCACGGGAGAACCACGGGAGAATGACGGGAGAACCCCTCCTCCCAGTCGTTCCCTGACGGAATAACACCGGGATAACCATGGGATAATGGTGGGAGAACGACAGGAGAACGACGGGAGAATACTGGGAGAACACTGGGAGAATGGCAGGAGAACGCTGGGATAACACCAGGATAACACTGGGAGAACACTGGGATAGCACCAGGAGACCACCGGGATAACGCTGGGATAACACTGGGATAACACCAGGAGAACACCGGGATAACACCAGGATAACACCGGGATAACGCTGGGATAACACCGGGATAACACTGGGATAACACCAGGATAACACCGGGATAACACTGGGATAACACCAGGATAACACCGGGATAACACTGGGATAAAACCAGGATCACACCGAGAGAACGCCGGGAGAACACCAGGATAACACTGGGAAAACACCGGGATAATGACGAGATAACGCCGGGATAACACCAGGATCACACCAGGAGAACACCGGGATAACACCGGGATAACGCCAGGAGAACACCAGGATAACAGCAGGATAACCCCGGGATAACAGCGGGATCACACCAGGATAACACCGGGATAACCCTGGGATAACCCCGGGATAACCCCGGGATAACCCCAGGATAACCCCGGGATCGGGGAGGGATCGGGGCGGGCTCGGGGCCGGTGCCCCCCCAGACTGACCCGAGGGGACGATCCCGGCCAGGCTGCACTCGATGGCCTGGAAGGGCAGGCTCAGGAAATCCCCCCTGGAAAGGGAAAAGGGACAGTCAGGGATCGGGAGGGACGGGGGAGAGGGAGAGGGGGACAGGAGGGACAGGGGATGGGAGGGATGGAGGGACAGGGGAGGGACAGGGGGACAGGAGGGACAGGGGAGAGGGAGAGGGGAGGGACAGGGGAGGGACAAGGGAGGGACAGGGGAGGGACAGGGGGACAGGAGGGACAGGGGCGATGGCGAGGGGGAGGGAGAGGTGCGGACAGGGAGGGACCAGTGGGACCAGGAGGGACAGGGGAGAGTGAGAGGGCACGGGACCGGGGAGAGGGGACAGGGGAGGGACGGGGGCAAAAGGGACAGGGGAGGGATGGAGGGACAGGGGGCAAAGGGGACAGGGGAAGGACAGGGGGGACAGGGGAGGGACAGGGGGCAGAGGGGACAGGGGAGGGACAAGGGAGGGACAGGGGGACAGGGGGGACAGGGGATAAGGGGCAAAGGGGACAGGGGAGGGACAAGGGACAGGGGGAAAAGGGGACAGGGGATAGGGGAGGGATGGAGGGACAGGGGACGGGGCAAAGGGGACAGGAGGGACAGGGGAGGGACAAGGGGGACAGGGAAGGGACAGGGGACAGGGAAGGGACAGGGGAGGGATGGAGGGACGGGGGGGGACAGGGGATAAGGGGAAAAGGGGACAGGAGGGACAGGGGAGGGACAGGGGAGGGACAGGGAAGGGACAGGGGCACAGGGAACACACAAGGGACAGAAGAGGGACAGGGGGACAGGGGATGGGGGGGCAGGGGAAGGATGGGGGGGACAAGGAACAGGGCAGGGATAGGGGAGGGAAGGGGAGGGACAGGAGAACGGGGGGGACGGGGGCCAGGGGAGGGCACAGCCAGGAGACCCCGTGGGGAGGGGGGGGGAACCCCCAAAACATCCCAAGGGAAGGTCTGAGGGGACAGGGGAGGGACAAGGGACAGGAGGGGCAGGGGGGGCTGGAGGTGCCCAAGGGTCCCCAAAATGGGCACAACCCATGGGGAGGGTGGGAGGACCCCAAAAAAAACCCCAAGGGAAGGTCTGAGGGGCCAGGGGAGGGACAGGAGGGACAAGAAATGCCCAAGGGTCCCCAAAATGGGCCCAGCCAGGGCACCCCATGGGGAAGGTGGGGGGACCCCAAAAGATCCCAAAGGAAGGTCTGAGGGGCCAGGGGAGGGAACAGCCAGGGCACCCCATGGGGAGGGTAGAGGGACCCCCAAAAGACCCCAAATGGAAGGTCTGAGGGGCCAGGGGAGGGGCTGGAAGTGCCCAAGGGTCCCCAAAATGGGCCCAGCCAGGACCCCAAACCCCCAGGAGAGAATTCCCAGCCGGCCACCCCGTTCTCCCGGGATTCTCCCGGGATTCTCCCGGGGTTGTCCCCACCTGAGGGGCCGCAGGGCCTCCCGGGGGGCCTCCCCGTTGTCCCCGAAGTCCACGTAGTAGAGGTCCCAGTGGCCGTTGTCCAGCATGGCCAGGACGCGGGCCCGGTACCACTGCCCGTCCCCGGGGTACGGGGCAGCCACGATGTCACCGGGACGGACGGACACAGGGGGACACTGGGGACAGACGGACAGTCAGGGACAGGGAGGGGACAGGGGGACAGGGAGGGGACAGACGGACAGTCAGGGGAGGTACCACTGCCCGTCCCCGGGGTACGGGGCAGCCACGATGTCACCGGGACGGACGGACACAGGGGGACACTGGGGACAGACGGACAGTCAGGGGAGGTACCACTGCCCGTCCCCGGGGTACGGGGCCGCCACGATGTCACCGGGACGGACGGACACAGGGGGACACTGGGGACAGA